GTGGCTGCGCTCTGTGTTCACAGCCCCCCGCCCCCCGCCCGCTCGGCTCTGCGGGGGCGGCGCGTGGGACCCCGCCTGGAGCCCGCAGGAGTGTGGCCAGAGTCGAATTATCACCCAGGGAGCAGAGCGGGGTTTCCCAGGCTGCGGCTCCGGAGAAGAGCCTCCGTCGTTGCAGGGAGCAGGCCCCAGAAACCCCTTCGGCCCCGCGTGGAAACGGCCCGACGGCCTGGCTCCTGTTGCCAGGGGCAACCGTGGACCAGGCGCTCAGTAGCCCGCTGATGGGACCTGGAGACGGTGAGGCCCGTGGTGAGAACGTGGCCTAGAGGAAAGTGTGAATGAGAACCTTTGCAGGTGTCCTTTGGCTCGGAGGGGAACCAGAAGTCCCGTGAAACCGCCCCGCGGAGAGAGGAGCCGCAAGGCCCCCGGGAGCCTGACACCTCTTACTCTCCTTATCAGGTGTGACAGCGAACCAGCGCCTGGCGTCACCGGGAAGCTTGTTTGAAATGCAGAATCTCAGGCCCACCTAGACCTACTAAATCAGGATTTAGATACTAACAAGGTCTCAGGTGGTTTGTAGGCACATTAAAGTGGATGTAGACAGGGAAAAGGAATTATTTTGATACGGGCAGGCCTCACTTTAAGGCAGGCCAATACAAGTGACCTCTAACCTTCTCAAAGGCTGTCCCATAGCCTGCAAAGCTCTACGTGATGTAGCAAGTTCGGCCCCCGCCACTCGCCAACCTACCTCTCTGACCTCTCCCACCCCACCCCCTCTCAAACTCACTAGCAAGCGCCTGCCTCCTTTTCACTGGCTCATCTTTTGCCTTAAATGCTCCCCAGATATAGTTAGTCATCTTGACTGGCTACCTTCACACTTTGCTTACACGCCACCTTCTCAATGACAATCCTATTTAAAATGACCACCCATCCCCATCCCTCTTACCCTGCTCCAATTTTTCTTTTTTCATAGCATTTATCAACTTCCAACACGCTATACCAATTATGTTTATTAACTGCCCCTCCTCTCTAGACGGTCAGCTCCATGAGGGCAGGGATTGTTGGGGGTGTCATTCCTATGTGCCTACAGCAGTGTCTGATACATGAAGAGCACTCATTGAATAATTGTTGAGTGAAAGAACCAATCGAAGAATTTCCAAAAGGGGTTTATAGATTGCCTGTCAGAAAGTCGGAGTGCTCCTTTTTTCCCCACAGCAGCCATGTTATAGATGAAAGTTATATACTCAGATCAACACCATAAGCCTATTAAACTCATAATTTAGCCAAAAAGTTATCTTTTGTTATGGGCACTATTCAGGGACAGTTGTTAGGTGAAAATCTAAAGTGATAAATTAAAAAATATATTGAATTAGAGGAATTAATATTTGACTTAAAGGGGATTAATCCAAGGATTACCCTAAATTCCTTTTGAAGGCCCTTTCATAGTCACTCCTTTCCAAGGCCTTCCATGATCATCCCAAACCATAATAAGCAGCTCTGTCCTTGATCTCACGGGGGATTCGTTAACTATAATATCCATTTGGCAATTAGACATGCAGTTTTTTGCCAGTGTTTGTACAAAATTGCCTCTGAAGCTAAATAACCATAGTCTGAAACTCTGTAAATCTCAGAAAATATTTAAAATGTCAACTGAAATGGTCACATCCTTCTACAAACTGAAAAAAATTGATGGGTTGGCCCACTTCTCAGAGCACTCACAGCTTGACCAACCTCTGCTGTCCAGAACCTTAATCCAACGTCAGCATCTGCGTCACTTAACGCTCACCCAGGGCTAAGCCACTGCAGGATTAGCATAGGCTGGACCACTGCAGAACGATGTTTATTATACAATCTGCCTTGAGCCTCTTTTATCAAGCCAAAGAGATAAGCCGCAAGTGAGGGAAAATAAATAAGAGACTAGCACCTTATATAAAAAGCCTCCTCTGGTCCGGGTCACCCAGCCCCCGTGGCTTCTGTATTTAAGAGACTGGTCTGTGTTGCTGAAGTGAGCTGTTAGTTTTCTTCTGAACTATGAATATTTAACTTTACCTGGGCCTATAGCTTGGGTTCTAAATTAGATAGTGAACTATGTAAGGGTAGAGACTGTCTTTTTTATCCTTCAAAGTATCTAGCAATGGAAAAAATATCCTTGGGTGAGGGTAAAAAATACATACATCATCCCTTAATTGTGCCATCTTGAGTAACAGCTATTTCAGAGTTGCCATCAAATCCTCACCTGCCTTCCTGCCTTAACACCAGGCAGACTCCTACCTGAGGATATTTTTTCCATTGCTTTTCAGAGAAAGTAGAAGGGAGGGAGGGGGAGAGAGAGGGAGAGAGAGAGAGAGAGAGAGAAGAACATCGATGTGAGAGAGACACATAGATTGGTTGCCTCCTACACGTACCCCAACCGAGGCCCGGGATTGAGCCTGTGACCGAGGTACCTGCCCTTGGCTGGAATCCAGCATGGTACCCTTCAGTCCCCAGGCCAGCACTTCAGCCACTGAGCCAAACTGGCTAGGGCAAGGGATGATATTTTTATCAAGCAAGATTTTTATCTCTTTTCATTTTAGATTTCAAAATGATGATGTCTATTTTTAACTGGTTTACTTTTTTCATATGTAGGACTTTATGCTACCTCTGATTCCTTAACATGTGTAAAGTAGACTCCAAAAATATTTCTCTCTCTATAATATGAAGGCTGTTTAAGACCAGCAGAGACCCATCCGTGCTGCCGGCTGTCCCCAGCAGCCGCATCTGCAGCTCTTTACTGAGTGATGAACACACTTCTGACATAAATGGTAGACTTGAGTGACTAACTTCCTCTCTGGATTATTTTTTTCTCCCCTTTTTAATCAATACCCACATAACTGATCAGGTGGGCCATATGGCCCCTCTGATTCACACATTAAGACAATTAGGACGCCAGCCAGGTAATTCCTCAAGCTGGCATTTTTCCTAAGACAAGAAAACCAAAAGCTTTGTCTTCCTCTGAAAAAGCCAACTCCATCTGGTCTTGGGTATAATTCAGGACTAATTCATACAGTATCCAGCTAAAAATGAGTATAACCATATTTAGAGAAAATAATGAGTAAGAGCGAATTATGTGGCAGTAAGTTTCCCACTGAAGAATCTGGACCAAAATGTGATAGTAAAAATCTAACATGGGAAGAATGACCATACTGCATGTGCTTAGATTTTACACACACTCTGAGAGGGAGATGCTGGTCACCGAGAGTAACCAGACTCCGCCTCTCAGGGACCAAGTATCAGAGGAAGAGTTTGGAGGCTTGGGGATCCTTACAGCTGTGAGCTCTAAGATGATGGGGGGAGACTTAGACATATAAAGTCAAGTATATAGAAAGATAAAAGATTTATTTTCTGGCACCAGGACTTATAGAGGGTACGTCTGCCATGCTGCAGCCCTGTTTTCATAGAAAAAGAAGTAAAGCTGATGAGTGTGTCATGGTTGAGGAGGGTTCTGGAAAGGTAGCTACTCCCAGGATGGGATCTGTGAGTTGGGAGCCAACGGGAAACAAAACAAGTAGCAGTCTGAACATGGATTTATTATGTTATTTAGAAAGAAAGAATGTTTACCATTCTGTGGCAGACATGTGACCTATATGACCTATAGTTGGAGAGGCCAGAGATTTCGCTCCTTATGTGACATGTCCTCTTAACTGCAAGCCCATCCACACCTCCACCCCCAGCAGGAGCCGTGGAGGAGCCAAGCACTGCAGTGGGAGATGAGAGCATACACCGAGCGGGCTCTTGCAGAAGGTTAACAGGCGTAGGAGAGGCCACTGTGGTACCCAGGCAGCCTGCCCACCACCACACAGGGAGGCTGAAATGAAACAGAAGTGCTTCTGGGAAGAAGATGGCAAATATTCCTCCTGCCTCTCCTCTTCCAGTCCTCAGGCCAATTCAAAAGTAAAACAAAAATACCTAAGAGAAGCAAACAACCACCATCAGTTTTCCCAGTTTATAATCGAACAAGATTTCAGCAACCAGTGAGGTTTAAAAAAATTGCTACCATATGCCTCATGTATTACTCTAGTAAATTAATTCTCTCATCATCAAGAGAGTTTATATGCCATTGTCTTCATGATGAAAGGACTCATTTGCTAGAAGAGAATCCCGGAAAAAGTCATGCTAAGGATCATGCTGGCATCATGCAGGCGTGTCTCAGGGCCTCTCCTTCTGGCCTTACTTTTCTCATTCAGCAATGCCTGGGAAATATCACAAGCCACCCAGAAACTACACACAGTCAACAAAGTAACATGTCCCTTTAAAATTAAAATAGAAAATTTCTTTTACGATTTTGAGATTACTGTACATGGGGTGGGATAGGGTGGAATCGTGTGATGAGGGAGGAAGTTGACTAGAAAGAGTGGCCACAGGCAGGAGCCTGACTTACAAGTCCGCCTGCATTGAGATCTAAAGAAATCCCACCCAGAACTACATTATTGTGAGCTCAGGAAA